TACTCGATTTGTGGCTTATGTTGCCTTGGTTGGCTCGGCTTGTGGCATTGAAGGTGAGGAGTCCCTTTTATAGAATAAGGGCTCGCTCCTCAATACATAAATGATGGGCTAGAGTTGATGCTCACGGTGAGGCGGTTGCTTAGTAGGCGGCGATGTTCTCTAATGATGGTGAGGGAGTCTCTTTTATAGAATAAGGGCTCGCTCCTCAGTACATGAATAATGGGTTAGGAATGATGCTTGCGGCAAGGCGGTTGCTTAGCTGGCGGCGATGCTCTCTAATGAAGGTGAGGGAGTCCCTTTTATAAAATAAGGGCTCGCTCCTCAGTACATGAATAATGGGTGCTCTCTAATGAAAGTGAGGGAGTCCCTTTTATAGAATAAGGGCTCGCTCCCCAGTACATAAATAATGGGCTAAGTCCCCCAAGTATTTTTTATAAGGCCCAGTTGAAGCCCAATATATGGTACATAATGTAGTCCCCCAAGTTTTCGGTCAATAGAGTCTGTTGGCTGGAGACTTCAAATTGAATCCATGTATGGGCCGAAGAGGCAGTTGTTCGGAGGCGGTATTTGTATACTCTGCACTGAAGCTTTGTAGGTGAAGCTTTGCAAGTGAAGATTTGAAGCTGGAGCTCTGTAAATGAAGCTTTTGAAGCTGGAGCTTTTGTAAATGAAGTTTTTGAAGCTAGAGCTTTTGTAAATGAAGCTTTTGAAGCTGGAGCTCTGTAAATGAAGCTTTTGAAGCTAATTGACATGAGTGATGCTCATGAATGTTTATGTTGATTGATATGAGTGATGCTCATAGATGTTGACATGAGTGATGCTCATGAATGTTTATGTATGATTGGTATGAGTAATGCTCATGAATGTTTATGTATGATTGACATGAGTAATGCTCATGAATGTTTATGTATGATCGTACTTTTGATAACCTGGTTGGTGATAATAGCGGCAGGCTACCGAATAATTTGGAGTACTGGGTGTACTTTTGATCACCTGGTTGGCGATAATAGCGGTGGGGTGCCGAATAATTTTTTGTAGTACTAGGCGTACTTTTGGTCACCTGGTTGGTGCTATTTTGGGCTTATGGGCCTTCGACCTCCACATAACATTTCAGCCCATTTATTTTGGGCTTTGCCTTTTTATTATTATTATTATTATTATTATTATTATTATACCTTTTATTATTATTATTATTATTATTATTATTATTATTATTATTATTATTATTATTATTATTATTATTATTATTATTATTATTATTATTATTATTATTATTATTATTATTATTATTATTATTATTATTATTATTATTATTATTATTATTATTATTATTATTATTATTATTATTATTATTATTATTATTATTATTATTATTATTATTATTATTACCCTTTGATGGAGTTTATACAGATATCTCTGAAAGATACGAAAAATAAATTACATCGTTCAAAAATAAGGAAAGTAAACCATATCACTCTGGTGGGGTGTTTATTCCTTGGTTTTGCAGTGCGGGTGTTTATTCCTTGGTTTTGCAGTGCGGGTGTTTATTCCTTGCTTTTGCTTGTGTTTTTTTTTTGTTGTGCTCTCTCTATCTCTTCGTCTAGCAGAGAGAAGGAATCATAATAATAGGAAGATCTTTTGCTTTTCTTCTTTTCTCTCCACTGCGTCTCTATCTTTTGCTTTTGTACCGCAGCTTACTTGATTGTTTTTCTTTCTGCTTTCTTCTTTTGCTTTTCTTTCTCTTTTCCATTTCTTGTATGTTCTCCTGTAAAACGTAACAGGACAACCTTGATACCACCCACTTGCTTTCTTTTGCTTTTCTCTAAAGTGACAACTGCTTGGACATTGATATCTTCGTGGTAATAATTGCAGCCAAAGTGATAGTTGCTTTTATGCTTTTCTTGTTGCTGAATGCATCGAGAACGATGAGGCTTTGAAGGCCTGAGACTCTGATGGGGAAGTGGCCGGAGGAGTTGTTTCTGCTGATGTCTAATGTTGTGAGGTTGGTGAGGTTTGAAAATTCTGGCGGGGAGGTGACTGGAGAACAAGTTGTAATTGAGGTTGAGTGACACAAGGTCGGTGAAGACGGCGAATTGGTTGTCGAAAATTTTTAGCCTCATCCAACTTTTTTCAGCGTTTTGTAAGACTCATCAGGAAGAGGACCAGGTCGGTGTAGAGGAACGTGCTTGGGAACTGGAGCATCATTCTCGATCACCTCACATTCGTAATCATCATGAACACCCCATGGATCCCACTCGATCATCTTGCCGATAAGAGTGAGTTTGTCGCACACCTCCTCGATGAGCTCCTCGACCTGGTCGCAACCGAGCTTCTTCTCGATGGCATCCCAGTCTTCCTCTTCACGGCAGACATTGAGACGGTGGCGCGTGAAGCTCTCGACGGCCTTGCGATAGCCTTCGTCCTTGGGGACGGCCTAGACCTTCTTTAGGGTTTTGGAGTAGAGCTCGATTAGGACCTCCCTTGCATTGGGGACCACGTCCAGCCCTACAATCCCCGTCATCTGCTTCACCCTGGCCAATCAATGGTCGTCTGATCGCTTGCAAGAACATGTTTTCGAATCACTTTCTCTCTCTCTCTCTAGAATTACAATGTTAAGTCCCTCGTACTTTCTCAGATTACAGCTTCCTGGCCCCATTCTCATACCCGACCCGATAGTGTCCCGGGTGAGTTTCAGCAGAAAGGGACCCAGATCCTGGTTGTCGAGCAAGGTCTCGTCGATGGGTAGCTTCTCTGAAGCTGGTTTTTTGGCGGGTCTAGCCTGAATGGTCCAAGGCGAAGGGTTTTGGCGCCGTTGGAGTGCTCTGTTTTGCGGGCCAGGTTGGGTACGAAAATTAGCGGTGAAGGTGCTCCAAGAGGCAAGCTTTTGGGTGAGACTAAGCTTGGCATTGTAGATTTTGCAGATTCACGGTGGAGGTGAAAAAATGAAAGAGAACCGACATAGTTTTTTGTGTCGATTCCCACAGACGGCACCAAATGTTGATGCACAAAATCGGAGGTCTTGGAACAACGTAAATCCGACCGTGAATCTGCAAGAAAGTAAATAACACAAGATGTATCGTGGTTCACCTTAATGTTTGGGTTACGTCCACACTGATATTGTATTTCTGAGGGAGAGAGTGCTCTGAATATGAGAGTGAGAGCTTTGAGAGCTTAGAGCCTAGGGGATGTGAAGAGGCTCCCAGGCCTAAGAGTTGGCCTCCTCTAATTGTGAGGGTGAGGAGTCATTTTATAGAATAAAGGCTCCTCACTTATTACATATTTGCCCCTTCCTTTATTACATAATTACATTTAAGTCCCCCGAGTATCTGTACGAGATCTAAATACGAAGGCCCTAAGTATGGTACAAACATAGTCTAATAGACAATAGAGGGTAATCAGTGTATGCAATAAACGGTCCGGGCCGGGGGCCCGTTTTCCCCAATCCTTAGAACCCGCCTGCCTCGTTATTTATCAGGAACCGGCCCGCCCCATCCTGTTTTGTATTTGTAATTTTTGGACCCGCCCCGAATTGCAAAGATCCGCCCCGACCCACAGGTTCAGGACCTGTTTGCCCACCCCTATTGAAAAGTCTAAGAGAGGGTGATGGTAGACCAAGGTTAATGGGTTGAGCAAAAACAAACTCTAATTGAAAAGGAATAGGAATACTAAAAGATCTGAAACAAAAAAAGAACAGGATTTGATGAACGCTGGAGAGTACAAGAACAATAACTCACACACTTATGTAACGTTTGCTAATCCATAATTGGAATGGAAATAAGGAAGAGACTTTATTCAATTGAGAATTTGAGAGATTTTAATGGATTTATAAATCCATGGATTTTTATAGAGTTTAATTGATTTGTAGAGATTCCATATAAAATTGGGAACTTTAACGAAAAGCACCCGGTACTGTTCACTTTAACGAAAAACCACATTTTTACACTAAGAGGGGTGTATTCAATTAGGATTCTGATAGAGTTTCAGGGAATTAATAATTTCAGGGGTATTCAATTAGGATTTTAAGTGATTCTCCGAAATTCTAGGCGTATTCAATTAGAATTTCAAAATAGTTTATTAAAATCCTTAGAAATCCAGGTGTATTCAATTAAGATTTTAAAGAAGTTTATAACATTCCAGGTGTATTCAATTAGAAATTGATTTTAAAGAATTAGAGGGAATTGGAGAGATTTCGTAGTGTATTTTAAGTATCCACAAATCTCACCTCTTCCCATGAGATTTCGAGGGAATTGAATCAAAATTTTATATGGAATCTCTACAAATCAATTAAACTCCATAAAAATCCATGGATTTATAAATCCATTAAAATCTCGCACATTCTCAATTGAATACACCCCCTAAAAAGTCAATCATGGTACTATTCACTTTACCCTTTATTTTGTCCTTATCATTAAAACTCAAAGTTTTCAAGCCATTTTCATTAGTTTTCCTTATAAAATTTTGATACAATTCCCTTGAAATCTCATGGGAAGAGGTGAGATTTTTGGATACTTAAAATACACTACAAAATCTCTCCAATTCCCTCTAATTCCTCAACTTTCTCAAATTCTTTAAATTCAATTTCTAATTGAATACACCTGGAATGTTATAAACTTCTTTAAAATCTCCATTGAATACACCCGGATTTCTAAGGATTTTAATAAACTATCTTAAAATTCTAATTCAATACACTTTGAATTTCAGAGAATCACTGAAAATCCTGATTGAATACGTCTAAATTCATTAAAAGAATTATAATCTCCCAAAATCCAAATTGAATACACCTCCCCAACTTTACGTTCAAGTTGTTTAATGCATGCCATTTATATCATCGGAATCGGAAGAGGAAGAGGCTTACTAATCCAATGTTAATTATCCACTTGAGCGCATCCATCCACCAACAAAAATGCATTAACCATCTTCATTCCCCAACTTATAATTTGAACTGTTCAGATGTATGACAATAATAAACGGTTCATTAAAAATCTATTTATTGAATTTATATGGTGGCGGGAGTTGTTGATCCCTCAATCGTCTCCCCATTTTATTATAAAGCGCCAAAACCCTTACCCTACCCTCAGACACAGGAAGGAAGCAGAGACAAGAGAAGAGAAATGGCGACTCTGAGCTCTGCCAAGAAGTCGTACGAGTACGCCAAGGCAGAAGGGACCCGTCTTCAGGAGGCTCAGTGGGCAAACGTGATCGGAAACATGTTGAAGAAGAGTGGGAAGTACGCAGAGGCCCTCAAGTGGCTAAACATCGACTACGATCTTTCCATCAAGTACTTGTCCCAAAGCCACTGCCTCCCCGCCTGTCAGTCACTTGGCGAGCTCTATCTTTGCCTTGAAGTTTTCCAACATGCTCTTCTTTTTCAGGTATGTAATATTGGCTTTTCCATTTCATTCAATGTTCTTCATATATTTTCAGTTATAGTTGGGATTTTCCTAGTTGCTTGCGTGCTAAGAAATATGGGGAAAGAGAAATTAGAAAACCAGGAAAAGATAACTTGAGTGGATGGGTGATAAAGATATGACGGGTCTATAACTGCTTCTGATCATTTTGGCAATCGAGATTTAGTTTTTTTCATCATTTTAGCCAATTGCCCTAATTTCTTTTCACAACTTTTACAGAGCTTTATCAAGAAATTATTTAGCGTGGATGCTTGAATCGTGCTTTTTAGAAGAAAGGTTGAGTTTTTTACTATTGTTATCTTTGTTTCAGAAAAAACATTTACAGCTTGCTGAGGATGCCAATGATCTTGTCGAGCAGCAAAGAGCAAATACCCAACTAGGCCGAACCTACCATGAAATGTTTTTAAGATCCGAGGATGACCACTTCTCTGTTCAAAATGCCCGAAAGTATTTCAAAGCTGCAATGAAGCTTGCACACATTATTAAGGAAAGCCCACCTACTAATAATTGTTCTTCCTAGAGGAATACATTGACGCTCATAACAATATAGGAATGCTTGAGTTTGATCTTGATAATCTGGAAGAGGCTCGGAAAATATTGACTAAAGGGTTGGAGATTTGCGATGAACGAGGGGTAGTGGAGGATGATGATGGGCGCAGCAGGCTCCATCACAATCTTGGAAATGTTTACATGAAGCTGAGGATGTGGGATAGTGCTCGAGAACACATTGATAAGGACATTTTGATATGTCAAAGAACTGAACATCGTCAAGGGGAAGCAAAGGGGTACATCAATCTTGGTGAATTGCATTATCGTGTTCAGAACTATCAGGAGGCACTCCGATGCTACCAAAAAGCTCTTGACCTGACAAATCTAATGGAAGGTGAGGATCCTCTTCTCAAGCAAATTCATCAAAATATTGGAACTGTAAAAAAAGCCGCTGAAGTAATGAACGAGTTGCAAAAAGAAGAGCAGAATCTCAAAAAGCTAACAGAAGACAAAGAAGATGCAAGAGGCAGACCACGTGAGAGGCATTGTCTGCCGCAGATAATTGCCTCTCTTGACTGTCTCATTGAGAAGTCAAGGACGACCATTGCCTGGGCAAAGGTACATATTTTGCAAATATTTTCTCCGCCTTTCTACTTTCAAATGCTTCATTGCTCTCATATGAAACAGTCCTGCATGGTGTTTGTACTCTAGATTTTTCTATGCATAAAAGTTGGTAGAAAGGAGGAGACTATCAAAATTAGTTTCTGAAACATAGATTACAGTGTCTTCTTTATTCCTTACCTTGTTTCCATTAGAGTAACTATGTTAGGACACAAGGTTCAAGAGTGTGATTCATCATGATAAAATGTTACTTAAGTGATTGAAAAAAACAGGAGACAATTCAATGGGTAAACCTCGATGATCACAGGGCTCTATTCATCACGAGTACATTGCTTGATTTACAAGGATATGGAAGATACACGAATATTACATTTAAGGGAAATAGAATCCCGAAGATATTCCTACAATTAATTACATAGAAGAATCAGGTGATAACGAATTAGCAGCAAACTTGGTTGGTGTCACAGTTTATCTGCAAATTTATTACCAGGAAATATAAATATATTCTTCACATAATTAAAATTTGTTCCTGCCCTTATTGTGGGTTCATTTTTCAGCTTTGTGAGTTTGCAAGCATGAAGAAGATAATATCAAGTGAACTTCACGACAAACAAAAGCTCATTGATTCATTTTTGGTTATTGGAGAATCATACGAGAACTTAAGAGAATTCGACAAAGCCTTGGACTGGTATACGAGGAGTTGGAAAGAGTACCAGTTCATTGGTGACTTTGAGGTGAGTTACATTTTCCATAGGATCATACAACGTGCTTTGTGTTTGGTTGTATTAAAAAAGAGTTAGCATACGTAGAATTAATAAAAATGCTTTTATAATTTCTTAGTGTGAATTAACATGATTTGTAATATTTTCTGTTTAGCAGACGCTTACACATAATTGCTAATTCTCAGGGGCAGGCATTAGCGAAAGTTAATATAGGTAATGTTTTGGACCACACTAACAACTGGCAAGGAGCATTAGACGCATTCAAAGAAAGCTACAAGTATGGGTTTTCTAGTCGACATTTTCACGAATATTGTAACTATTTAATTTGATAATTTTTTTTTACTTGAAATAAAAGGGCGTTTTTTAACTCATTTTGTATTGAATTGCAGGCTTGCTGTTAGGGCTAACCTTCCTTCTATACAGCTCACTGCTCTAGAGAATATGCACTACAGCTACATGATCAGATTTGACAAAGCTGAAGAGGCCAGGTAATCTGATTGATGCATGCCTTTTAACATATATACTAAAGTGGAATTCCATACAAAGAAAACTAAATGCAAAATGGTTAATACTCATTTCTATAATGTGTTAGTATGCATTACTATTAACGAAAGTACCTCTATGTAGGAGAGTGAAGCTTCTAGTTGAGGAATTGAAACAACAAAGAAATAAAGAGTTTCATACAGAAAATGTTCCAGAGGATTTGTGTTCCAGTTCTAACAGTCGTTCTAAATGTGCTACCCTTGTCTCTGAAAATATAGTGCATAGGAATGCTGTTTCCCGTCCCATTTTTCTTTCTTCTGCTGATAAACACAATGTGAGTGCTACTCAATTTAATTGAAAGCAAATGGTTCTATTTGATTATGCTTCCTTCGTCTTCTTGTCACTATTATAGTCGTATCATTTACTTGTGGTTTTTTTTTTTGTGCTAATAGCAACAGTGTCAAGTTGTTTCATTTAAGATCGACAAAGACGTAATACATTACCCAATGAAGGCTACTGGGAAGTTAAGCATTGAGTCTATGAAGGTTGAACTAGCATGCTTATATTACTTGGGACTTCCTGTGGAAAGAAGATCAGACGGTACGACATTTGTTGAACTTGGCATGTTCTAGTTTCTAGTGGTTATATCCTAGATGTTGGTCTCTTTTTCACAGCCAGACATTACTATTCTAACTCAAGTATTGTTTTTTCTCCAATGCAATGTGAAAAACAGTAGATTCTTCAAAACAAGTGCTTAATCAAACTGATAATTCTCTTGTGCATATTCTCAGGAATTCTTCCAATAATTAAGGTCATAAAGCTTGGTGGACGAGTTATCGAATCCCTAGAAACACTTGAAGCAACGGTTTCAGAGCATATGGGACAAGTCTTGTTTGATGCTTGCATTGGTGGTATGCATTGGAATAGTTTCAAGTTTATTTCATTATATTGTGATACAATCATAGAATTGGTTCATGATTTTCCATCATACCTGCCGTGCCGCTATAAGACCTACCCAGTTTGCATTACCCAGGTAGTATATCCTGGCAGGTTTAAATGAACATGCAATCAGGTTAAATTCTAGATGTCAACGCGGTTAGTTGAAATAAATTGTAGATATGTTTTTGCTGTAGACCAGCAAGACACAGTCAGCATTATTGGATCCATTTCAAAACAGTACAATCTCTCATTGTCTCATTTATTTCCCTTTTATTTTTAACAAAGAAAACCAAAAACTAAAAACAAAGGTTATTGGGTCCTAAGATTCTCAATAATATGAAAATCATCCAATTCTATTTCTATTTATTTTCTTTCGGTTATAATCATGGTTTACATGTTACCATCACAGGATGGAATCAGAAGCGCTTGATAAAACTATACACCGATTGCTGCAACACGTTATGTGAGACGCCCAATATGAAAGTGCTTATGAAACTATACGATCAGGAGGTAAGTCCAGAGGCAAGTGTATTAAGGCAAAAATTTGACATCCTTGTTATGTCTTTCACAACCTACGACATGATGCTTAGCAGATACGTTGTATGATAAGGACGCTTGAAGGCGTTATTTATACTTGGCGGTTTTTTTTTTCTTGTCTACCAGATGACAGATGCTGACGTTGCTGTGTCTGGATGTGGTTTGCAAGATTTTTCAATAACTCCATTGTTGAATGCCTTAGATGCCTATAAAGACTTTGCAATGCTAGACCTTTCTCACAATTTGTTAGGTATTAGAAAATGAAAGCTCTTCTCTTTACTTCTTCATGCATTCATTACAACGTCGAATATTTGTTGAGTATTTGCAGCTTATTTGCTATTATCCCTATAGGAAATAGTACGATGGAGAAGCTGCAGAAAGTATTACCAGGCTATACATCTTATGGGTTAAGGTTGGATATACACTGCAACCTATTTGGTCCAACTGCTTTGCTCCAGGTTTGCAAGTAACTTTGCATCAATTTTCATATTAAATTTGAAGAATTCAAACCACATGTTTCTCCTAATTATTGATACCACTTTATTCAGATATGTGAATGCCCTGTGCTCGTTGCTCGATTGGAAGTGCTAAATATATCCGAGAACCCTCTCACTGATGCATGCGCATCTTATCTTTTAGATGTCTTGGAAAAGTGCAAGAGTGAAGTGCTTTCCTTGTAGCTCAGTTGATTTCAACTTTGGTTTCTGTTCCTTATCAATTGTTCTTAGTATTATGTTTTCGTTTTGGAAATTTTCTTTTCATATTGCTACTGTTCCTGTGGTCTCTTCTTTGCAGCCCTTTACAGCTTGAGTATGGAGCGCTGCTGTATCACATCTAGAACAGTTCTTATGGTTGCTGATGCATTAAACGCTGGATCTCCACTTGACCAACTTTGTATAGGTATATCGTTTGACTCATATGATATTTGTAAATCTACATTATTCTTTAGACTCTTTATTTCATATTATGTTTTCTCACTTCCTCTTCTTTCACAGGATATAACGACATTGATGACAATGCCCTTGCTTGTTTACTTGTCAAGCTTGGCTCTCTGAAAAGGTTTAGATTGAATCGAAACCATTTTTTGTCCGTGTTTCTTCATGAATAGGTTACAGAAACATACTCAAATTGATGTAACTATATTATTTTCCTTTGCTATCTTATCGTAGATTTTCACGTTTGAATCTGAACGGTTTGGAGCTAAACAAGCGTGCAGTTGATAGCCTTTGCGGCCTTGCTTCGACCTTGCCCTTGTTCGAACTAATGCTTCGGGAAACTGGTATTGGAATGGTGAGTGGAACATTTGGAATTTGAAAGCCGCGAGGCATATTTCCCCTGTTGCTATCTCTCAGTTTCATTTATTTATTGCAGGATGGAGCGTCATTAGTAACCAATTCATTGTTCATCAGGACTGAGGAGATTTTCAAACTTGACTTATCGTATTGTGGACTGACGTCTAATTATGCTCTGAAAATTAGCACTAATTCTTGTATGATTTGTGGCATTTACGAGCTGAACCTTTCAGGAAATCCTATCAAGGAAGAGGTATGTTGTATTCTGTTGCTAACATCCTACCTAGAACAATGATCAGTTTTTGACTCAACTATGAACATGAACACAGGGTAGCAAAGCGTTATCGTCGATGCTTTTGAATTCCAAATGTTGTCTGCAAGTTTTGGTCCTTGAGAAGTGCGAGCTTGGAGTTGCTGGGTTTCTTCAAATAATCCAGGCAGTATCAGGTTCCCACACTAATCCTCTTGGCTTTCAGTTGTCAATACCATTACTAGTCCAATGAAAAGCAAGTTACGAATTGTTGTTAGGTTCCCTCACTAATTCTTATGTTGAGGAGCTCAATCTCGCCGATAATGTCAAATCTCTTCATGTTGCTGATCAAGTTGGGCTCGACGATGACTGCAAAACCACATGCCAAGGAGAATTCTCATTCATTCAAAAGGTTTCAACTGCCATTCGCAAGGCAACGAATTTGCGATTCCTGGACCTTAGCAAAAATGGTTTTTCCAAACAAAGTGCAGAGGTATTTTATTCCGCGTGGTCGAGATCAAGACCGAGTGACAGTTCCTTGTATGGTTCACGTGGTTGGCATATGGAGGAGGAGACCATCCATTTGTTTTTGGAGGGAATCAAGTGCTGTGTGAAACCTTGCTGCAAAACGAACAGCTTTTCTTGCTCTGCTTATCGCCAGTGAGGGAAAACATAAGCATTTTTGCTGAAGCAGGACTTGTTTTATTTCACAGTTATATTCTGTTTTGTTGGTATTTTGATTTTGGAGGAGAGGGAATCGAACTTAGAAACAACATTATAGGTGTTTTGACAGATTACTCAGTATACCTTCTTGGTTATATATAAACAATTTAAGCACTTCAATCACCCAATTTATAGGTGTTTTAACAGATTACTCATCCTTTGCACTATAACAAATGACCTTAGAGGAATTGAATCTTATTAGTATCGAACCTAATTTAAAACCTCACTTATTAGTGGAGTGGAGTGGAGAAGAATAGTACTAGACTTGGGGATTTCATTCACCGCGAAAAAGGAAAAAAGGCTCAACTACTTACAAATCTTTTTTGTTTTTTTTTTATATTATCTTTTTTAGCCCCCTCTTACCTGGTCGAACTAGTGTCAGTGCCAAAAGAAGCTATTTTTATAGACACAAACTAACACGCTCTAATACATGTAGGTCCCATATACAGTTAATTTTCTATATTGCCTCATTTCTTTTTTAAACAAGAAGATTTAGACCATAAATTTACACCACTATTAAGGGCAAATTTGGATTACTTTGCTTTAAGAAAAATAAATAAATAAACCGTGTTGTGAGAATAAACAGCTCAGTGTCCGAATGTTTGATAAATTTTTATATAAAATTGTTGTGACTATTTTCCGTATGATTAAAAATATAAGTATTATTCAAGACAGATATGTGAGGGGGTCAAGTGCATAGCTTTTGGGTAAGTGCCAAAACAAAAGGAAAAGCAAATATTTTTATTTCTACGGAATCAAAGAATTGACTGTATCATTAAAGACACAAGTATTATTTAAGACAGACATGTGAGGATTAGGCTACCAAATTATTACCAAAATTATTATCAAAAGACTAAAGCCTTTGTTGGATCTTTGTATCTCAAGTAACCAAGGTGCCTTTGCTCCGGGGCATTCAATCCAAGATAACATCTTAATTGCACATGACATGTTTTCGGGCTTTAAGGGTAAGAAAGGTTCTACTGGTGCTATGGAAATTAAATTGGATCTTGAAAAAGCCTATGATTTTCTTAATTAGGATGTTATTAGATTTGTTCTTTTGAAATTTGGCTTTGCGGAGAAATGGGTTAGCTTGATTATGGAATGTCTAACTTGTCACATCCGGCTCGGGCCCTCACCCCATCCTGAGCTCGACTCCACCGTAGCACGATATTGTCCGCTTTGGGCCCCTACCGCGCCCTCACGGTTTTGTTTCTGGGAACTCACACGAGAACTTCCCAGTGGGTCACCCATCCTCGGAATGCTCTCGTGCGAACTTGCTTAACTTCGGAGTTCCGATGGAAGTCAGTGAGTTCCCAAAAGGCCTCGTACTAGGTAGAGATAAGAATATATATATAAGGCTTACAAGATTCCCTCCCCTGGGTGATATGGGATGTTACACAACCTCTACGTCCTTTTCGGTTCTCATAAATGGTAATACGCATGGGTATTTTTATCCAAAACGTGGAATTAGACAGGGTGATCCTTTATCCCTTACATTTTCATCATTTGCATTAGACCTGGTAATTTCTTACACGACCTATTAACACGATACGTCAATAATACGAAAATAACGGGTTTCGAGTCAACACGATAACTAATTAGGTCATTATCAGGTCACACGATAAGCACCCGTTAATAACGGGTCCTTAACAGGTTTACACGAAGGTGACACGCGGTCAACCTGTTTCAACACATTAAGAAAAAAGTTATTTTGATGATTTTAATTTTTTAAACTACTAAAAAAACTTCCTACAAAATACAATAGCCATAGTGTATAAGTATATATTGTATATTAAATATGTATTATTGTATATAAATTTAAAAAAATTAAGTTTTACTTATTTATTTATATTTATAGTATAATAAATGTGTCACAGCCCGTCCCGGGATTTTTATATCTGGGACGTGAATTGACGTAATTACCCTTGGCGGGCATTAAGGTACGTGTGTGTGTGACATTATTTGAATTAATTTTGTAAGTTTTGGGATTAAACTTTTGGAATTTGAATTTTTGTGGTTAGGGATTTGGATGGATGGTGAGGATTATGTTGGGCCACACAATCACACGCACACGCACTCCCTGTCTTCTCTCCCTCTCGTAGCACTCTCTGTCTCTCTCCCTCGACCTCACACACACCCACACCCAATGTGTACGGCACACACCCAAACCCTCCAAAAACTCGACGGATCGAGGCAACCAAGGTATGCATCTTCATCCTTTCGACGTTCTGAGTTCATTGGTACTAGTTTTAGGAAGTGAAACCCTCGAAATCACGGGAAACCCGAACCTCCATTTTTGAGTTACTGTTCATGCACACGTAAAATGTCGTGTTTCAGGGAATTCTAAGCTTGTAGTGGGCATAGTGAAGTCCTAAGGACGCTCGGAGTACTTCGTTTGAAGGATTTGGACGTCGGGATCACGTGGTTCCATTTTGGCTGAATTTCTTGGGAATTTTCCGGTGAGATTTCTTGATTTTTAGAGCCTTAAACTAGTCTATCGTGATTCTACATGTTTGGGGCTTCAATTTGATATAAAATATGAAGAAAATGGGTGAAAAACGAAGGAGAACAAGAGGTTTTAAAATTGGCCGGAAAACGGTCGCCGGAAAAACCAGTCCGGCGACCCAAGGAAGAAGAAGGGCGCGTGGGGGGCGCGTAGGCCCGTGCCACGTGCGGCGCGTGGGGGCGCGTGGCACATCAAAAAATAATCTAAAAATATGTCGACGTTCGTGACGTCGAGTAGATCACTGTGGTATATTCATATAACCAAATTGAGCACCGTATGAGAAAGTTATTGCGATTATTGGTTAGGTGCTTTAAATAACGTTTTATAGTTTTCGCATTTAGGTGAAAATGTGAATTGACGATCCGACCGTTGGATCGTCACCAAACTTTGATACGTTGTAATACGTAATATTTGAGGATTATTGGAACTTACGGATTGGGAATCCGAGTTACGGATCTTCCGGAATTGGAGTTGTAAGTTCATAAAATAAAATGTTAACCGTCACTTAGTTTTGGAAATTGACGGAGATCCGACCGTTGGATGGTAATGAAATTTCAGGATGTTGTCCTAGAGATATATTGTGGACCTCTGGAAGTTATGGATTTAAAATCTGAGTTGCAGATCTTTTGGATCAAACTGCGTAGTGATGTGTTTTATATAAGTTATATTCTATTGATATGATTTCTGAGGTTGGATTTGATTATTGTTCTAGGCGGCGATCGTCATGACGCCTTGATGTGTTGTGCTAGGGAGTTGTAGGGCAAACTCCAGGTGAGTGGTCAGTTTTGTTTTCGTATTACTTATATACTATTGAGTTTTTCCAGAAATTGAATTTAAATGAAAGTATGATTTAAAATGCCATGGATAGATTTATATGAAAAGTATGATTTGAAATGCCATGCATAGAAGTATATGAAAAGCGTGAATTGATATATGATGCATATATATATGTGAATTGGTGCTGTGGACGCACAGGTAAGTATCAGGTGAGTTTTATATTATTCATGTGCATTGTTGATGTGTATATTGTGGATAGCTCATAACCTGCAATCATGGTGTTAGTGCTTATATTATTCACCACACCGCACGCTCGTCTTGGATCCAAGTAGGTGGATGTCGTACAGACCAAGTGAGGGTTCCGACATGCTAGTCGTATAGATTACTAGATGTGATTCCGACTAGTGGGTGACCTTAGATTATGTGCACAGATGATTGATGAGAGAAGCACTAGAGCGTATTATTACACCATCCATGTCGTACAGACTACTTCAGGTAGTTCCGACTTATCTGCAGTGTAGTGCCGTACAGGTCATCGAGGTGACTCCGGTTGGATTGGATGTTGAGCTATGGAATTAACAGTACAGGACCAACTGCAGGGTCTTCGGTTAATTCAACTTTTCACCTGTTACATTGATGCATCATTTATTTTGTTTTCGAAATTAAAACATGGCATACTTTCGGGTTTTAAAGAAAAATTGATGATTCGAGATTTATGAAAAGTATTATGTTATTATACTATTTTCTGGGAAAAGTATACAGGTTTTACAGTGAGGGGTTAGAATTATTTTTGGCGAAATGTTTTTGAAAAGCTTGGTTTTACTGACCCACTCAATTTTGTTTTTCGCCCCTCCAGGTTCTTGATAGCAGAGTTTTGGTGGCCACGAGGAATCCAACGGTATTCTGACAGAATTCACAAAAGTAGGACTCACCCTCGAGGGTTTCCATTTTAATAATTGTATTTTAAAAGCTTCCGAACTGTGTAAATGGTTACGTCACTCTCATGTGACGGCCAGCATGCCCTCCTTCGGGACGGGGTGTGTCAAAATGTGACATCCTGTCTTGAGATTTATTGTATTTTATTCTTAGTAGTAGTGAAATTGTCAAAATTCCCCTGAGATGCCATGTAGGCCTTCCACGTGGACCTCAATTTTTCTTTCACTTTTCACTCTTATTTTACTTCGAGTGCGGAAGTAATAGAGATACAAGGAAATACGAATAACTAAAAACCAAACAAACTAGAGCAC